CCAGGGACACTATGGAATACTAAAATTTCAACATGAAAACCATATAAATTTTCAAATCACGATTCTCTACAACCTGCTTTGGTGTCATAATTTGGTGTCATATTTGTTTGCTGAGTCCCATGGGGGCTTATGGAAGTCCTACACAGAAACCAAGTATCCTTTTTGGCATAGCGCCGACTCCTCAGAATCCCATGCTTTCAGTTCCATTCAGTCCTCCATTTGGTGTTGGTTAATTGCCTCAGCGGTGTGGCACTGAGACCCTGGTTGAAAGATCTTGTCCGCAAGATGACTGAAAAGGACAGGGCCCGGATTAAGAAACACAAGAAGGAAACCAAGAAACCCATGGTGATCAAGCGGATTAACAAAAAGGGAAAAGTCAGTGTGTATCCTGTCCGAATTTGGAAGCTTGATTTCAGCACCGGTGTCATGTGCAATCTTGACAGTGTTTGGTTTAGTGGCAATTTTTACACGAAGGGATATGCTTATTGGAAATCAAATGCGTTCACATACGTTTGATGTCATTTAAACCAATCAAGCCATATTCAACCATTGCGCCAAGGCAAGGTGGCCCAGGGATGAAAGGATCGGCTGAATATCCTCGGAGGTTTGCCAGGAGGGTCCTAGCCCTGCATCGGAAGGTGCACTGGTTGTCAATTCATTTTTAACTATGAAGTGCGATCTTATAGAGAGTCTGGTGATGTAATTGCCAATTGTGTATGACAAAGCTTGATCACTGGCCTTGGTATTTTGATAGCTACCCCCAGTTCAATCCAACTTGACACTATCAACTAGCCTGGCTAAATAATACAGTATATTTCATATATTTAATTATATAATTATTTCAATTCCTTGGTTGATCCCATCAGTGAACCACATGTAGTTCCATCGACACCAATCCCGTGCTCAGGCAGATGCTGCTGGAGCAATGGAAGTGCCACACCACCTGAACATGGTGGTACCGAAGAATAAGGTGAAGGTACCATTGGGAAACATTTGGATTACTCATGTGTGCCTATCATGTACGTCCCTATCAGCTATGAGTGTAATATGACAACCATCTTTGATTTCCTGGGCAGTGTGGTGTGCAACCAAAAACCTGTCTCTTAATCAAACTTGGATTTCCGGTATCCATCATCACCGTTTGAGATAAACAGTGTTGATGGGAAGCAGATCATGGTTGGGGGTACCTGTAAACTACTACTGGGTGATGTATAATATATGCATACTGCAGTTCGTTCTATATTGCATGATTTAAAATATGTGAAACTATATAATAAATATGCGATATTATATAATTATTATCGATCTATATATGCGCATCATAACCTTTTTGAGTTGTGGGGCTCATGGCATTATTAGTGTGTGTTATTCTCTGCCTTTTGCAGGCCCCCTACCGCTGGCGTCATGCTCTTCTAACACCTGTGCGTGACTACCTCAAAAACGAATGGGAACATGGCCGCTACAGCCCTCTCTTGAGTAAGGGCTTGGCTGATGATTACATCTAGGCCAAAAGCCTTGCAAATGAGCCATGATGTAATCTTACATCAGACTCTGGTATGTCATGCTGTTGGATACATGCATGCATGCATGTAAATACAAATTCGGTTTCAAGTGCGTCGCAGGATTGCACAAATCTCTGGGTCCCAAAATTTGTCCATAATCGACATTAATTCAAAATTATATAGTTCACAACCACTTGATAATTGATTTTCCATTGGTGCTTCATTCCTGCTTTTGGGCGCATATTTCACATGCTGATCAGTTGTGGCGTGCTTGCACCACTAATTTAGCAACAATGCAGCCAAACCAGAATACCCTGGGAGAAAACATTGCGGGTCTCTAGGTGGGCAACTTGTGAAATGGAAGTGAAAAGGAGCATGGTTTTTCTCTGGGCCCGGGGGTAGCGTGAAACATCGTGAAACTAGCGTGAAACTCGCGTGAAACCCCTTTGTTTGGCGTGAACGCACCCCAGAGGGCGTGAACGACAAGTAGCCCAAAATCATTGTTTTTGGGATAGTCATTCTGAATCAGTTTTACCAAAAAACAATCGAAAATATGTGTTTTGGGAGGAATTTGAATAATTATTTGGAAATGGTTGCAATATTGCAATATTGCAATATTGCTGGCAATATTGCAATATTGCAATGTTGCACTATTATAAATTCATAGTGGCAATGTTGCAATATAGACGGTTCAAAATCCTGGGGAGATTTCCCAGTGTTAGTGTGAGGGCTTGGGTGGTCATGGCCAACAATGAAGCTGTTCGCTTAGCACTTGAGAAAGCAGCTCTACGTGCCCAGAGGCACGCAGAGCTGGATGCAGCAATTGCTGTGATGGAACGACTGCTAAATATTGACCTACTTTCTCTGGAGATGCTCCCGTGGGGATGTGCTTTCAGGTATGCAAACCAAAAAACAGAACATCATGTGGTATATGATTACCATTTTACAATTGTGCATATATGCCATGATTGGTGGTTTTGTTACTGAATATTTAACTTGCCATGAAAAATGGACTGGGATCTTTGTTGGATAAAAAAAACTATCTGGGAGTCAGGAAATGGTAATGGATATGACACCCACAAACAACATTATCTTTTTGTCAAACGAACATAGTGTACATGTTGCCTGATATTAAACTGGTGGCTTGTCCGGCCCTGATCAGGTTGGATGCAGACAATCTGTCCAAGCCTGCAGCTGCTTCGAGTGTGATGCCAAAGCCTGGTTCCGGAGGCCGACAGGAAATCAAACTGCCATCACTGGGATAATCCAACAATGGGACTGTTTGGAACTTTTGTATTTTCAGGTGTTAGTGAATGTTCCATCAACCAGAGTCTATTCAACATCGAATCAGATAAGAGTTCGATATGCTTGTGATGTGTTGCCTACTGGTTTCAGACTTCTCAACTGGGGGCAAGAAGTTGAATCTGGGTCAGTAGTTTCTGGCTACACATCTGGCGCACGTGATTATTTTTGTACATGCAGGAAAGAATTTGCGTGATGAATATTAAATGTTGGCTAAACATCTCGGTTTCTCTGTGTGTGTCTGTTCAATTTAGATAATGTGTGAACGTGCATGAATGTGTAAGTAAGTTTGTTTGTGTACTTTTTGATGAGTATATCATATCTCACACTGTAATCATGATTATATGTTATTTATGTTGATTTGTGCACAACATGAACACAGTCCCGTATATTACCAATTAACCACGATTATGTTATTTATTACCCATATAGCATAGACAATATAATCTGGTTTCTTTGTGTTTATTCTACCTCGATCAATTAATTATATTGTAAATTTTAATGAGCGATAATTAATATTTGTATCCTATACATGTATATGTGCAGCATGATATATGTCATGACATGTTTTGTCCAGTGCCCCATTTGCACAGGACATTCGACAGCTGCGGGCAATCCTGGCAAGTCAGATGCCGTGTCCAGGACCTATGAATTCACCACGCCCCAGGACAAAATTCGTAGGACCCAGTCTGGGCCATCAGTTCAGCAGCAATCTCATGAGAAGACAAGCATGCCATCAAATCACCGGAGACCAGTAGGAAGAGCAGGGAGAACCAAGAAACACAAAAAACATGTGAAAAAACAGATGAAGGCAGACGGTCAGAAGGAAGCTACTGGGAAGACTGCACCAAATGCCCCAGCAGCACAGCCTGGCAATTCCAACGTGCCCCAGACCGCAGAGACTGGTAATCCCCCTGATGGTGGTGCAACCACTGTGGCCAAACCCGCAGAGACTGCTTTGCCTGAAACTGGTGCACCCAAGAATCCACGAAAGACTGCTGCCAAGTCAATGGCAGTCCCAGTAAAGACTGAGGGTGATGATGGGGAAGATACAGAAAGTGATGCAGATGATGAAACCAAGGAGGAACCTGCAGAAACACCTGGCCCGCCAAGTGCAGTCAGGGAGAGGCATGTTGCAACAGCCGCCACTGAGAACCTCAGACGACCAGCCACACAGCAGCAGCTGGCAGCAACACCCCAGCCTGCCCCAGATGCCTCAAACCCAGATCCCTCGCAAGCCAACCCGGCCAATGCACCTGGCCCTGAAGTCACTCCCGAAACTAGTGGAGGTCGTAAGAAGAGACGAGAGAAAACAGCGCAAGAGAAAGCAAACCATGCCCGATATGTGAAGTTCAGCCGCCACATCAAGAGTGCCTAGACTGACCTGTGTGTGTTTGTTTTTCTTTCAGTTGATGTGCATTATTTTTACTGATGTGCCCACATTCTGTGAATTAAGATCGGTGTTGATTTGCAAAGGACACAACTACAAATATGTTGTATTGGAGGATTTTCTGCCTGACACACGTGACATGTTTCGATTTCAATTGCCTGGTTCGGGTGTACTGACTGAAACCTTCGCTGCTGAGATCATTCCCCTCCAGAGATCCAAAAAGCCCACAAGAAGGCCAAGTATTGTACCTTGGCCTTTCTAGGTAGATCTTACTTGGAAATAAATTCAACAAAAACACTGACATGGCTGACTCTACATCTCAAAATCTTGTCACTTGTGCTGGCATCAATCTATGATGATTGTGATTTTCAGCAAGTATGGACATGTATAGCACTGCCAGAGTGAGAATTACTACATGCACATGTGGCATGGATATGTCAGCTAAAATAGCCTGGTGGCTAAGCATGTTTTTAGGTATTATATATTATTATATTTATAATAAATATATTTATTGTCAGAACAAGCTGGTTGTGTTAATACTAGTAGTTGATGATCATTGGTCAACCATAATAGAGGAATCCGAAACATTGTTGGTCATTGAGACTAACATATTACCTAATGAATATTGTACTATGTATATCTTATTTTACTCATCATGCAAAGGATTCCTTACTTGATTCTGTTGGATATGTTCAAAAAACCCCTTCATGCGCACTCATGCATCAGGCAGCAGCAAATTGCAAGTCCTTCTGGAGGAGTGGGTTGCTACCAATGGCGATTGGAAAAAATCGAAACTTTACCAGAATATGAAGGTGAAGTCTTCTGAGCGACGCCATGGGGCACGAGTTTGGCTTACAAAGCATCAGTTGACGATGAAGTATGGATCAGAACAGATCGCGAACGAGATCATCAAGGCGAAGAGAGACGACCCGCAGATCTTTGAAGAGCAGTCCAAACCACACCCAGACGCGCCGCAGTCTGAGGCCAGGAACTATCATGTTTCTAGCTTGTACCATGCTTTTGGTAACAAGTTGGATTTGAAAATAACAAATGCAAACACTTATACTGGAGATATGCAGATCCATGGCTGGATCAGTTATACTATGGTGCTCGTTTGTTCTACATATTGTACATAAAATCATGATCCAATTCTATACTAGAGAGGGAGAAAGAAATACAAAGAAAAGAAACAGGGAGCTGAAGGAAAGTAAACACTTTAAAGTCGTACTGTTTCAATCGTTTCATGTTTCACGATCTTGTTCATACTAGGAGTTCAGTGAACTAACTCCTGCAGAGAATCGTGCTGATTCCATTTTCCAACAACTTTGCTCTCAGGAGCTCAGACTGTGGCTCGTCTGGGACTCGGAAGGAATCAGTGAATTTGAAGATCGGGCTTTGGAAGAAATTTACCAAAGCATTGATGACAGTGACTCGGAAGATGAAGATTCAGATGACAGACGCAAGTCAAAGAAGAAGCGGGGCAAGGACAAGAAGCGAAAGCGACATTCCTCAAGCGATGAAAAGTCTGACTCTGCAATCAGTGTCTCCTCTGAGTCATCTACTAAGGCAGCCGTGGAACATACCATTCCCCATGATGCTTCTTTGAACGTCACTATCGAATTTCACGTATGTGTGCATGGGCATACATGTGATAGCAGTAAACCATTGTATGGATTTTTGAGGGTGTCCAAAGAATGTATCATGTTTGTTGCCAGATCACTGACACGAACTCTTCAAATCTGAGTTACCTCATATATTATTCTTTCTGCGAAAAAATGAATCTTGGGGGGTTGTCACTTCTTGGAATCGGATTGCTGTCACCTGGTTCTTCTCAGCACACTTTATGATATTGACAGGCAAAGAAGAAAAAGAAGAAGTCAAAGGGAAAGAAGGCTGCAAAGAAAGAGACAAAGGAAAAGAAGGAAAACCGCTTGCAGAAGGAAAAGGAGAAACACGAAAAAGATGAGTTGAGAGAAAAGGAGAAGAAAGAAAAAGAACAGATTGGAAAGGCCAAGAAGGCCAGTCTAAATCAACCCACTCTTCCATGGTGTTGTGCAGTCAAAAATCCAGTTTACTGAATAAATATGATGGTCTGTTGTATTCGTGGCATCATCCTCAATTTGAATCCATTTTGTGACATGCATGTCATGATTCGCAACAAAATTTTGCTCATACACCCAATATAATTCAACATGGCCAACCTGGCACCAGCTGTTGTACCAATTGGGCACGACATTGATCGAACCCTGTTAACAAATAACTCTAGTATGTCGATCTAGATCTATTTATTATATCTATATTATTAAAATATATAATCTACATTAGTTCCAATCCTTTCTCCCAGGTGCTCAACAGGATCAATGACAGGGTGTCCCATGCCTCGAAGAGGGCAAAGATGGTTGAAGAGATGTCGGGAACCTTGGAACAGATGATGCAGTGGCATTGCCAAAATTACTTCTGAAAATTTTGGGTATATTGAAAAAATATGTTTTTTCTCAAATAAGGGTGGACCACAAACTTTGATTACTGTGATTGACTGTATGGGACATCCTTGTTTGAGGAAACCATATTATATATAATATATTATAATGAACTTTTCCAATCGGCCTGCATATATTATATAATAAAGATTGTAATCTTTGCTTTGTGGGTAATCCCGGGTAATCCTGAGGATGGTTGGAACCTTCAAACAAACAAATTAAATTAAACCGACAATGTGAGATTTACTATTATTCAATATGTGTCCCATCCAATGTTGAACTTAATCTACAATGGTGATGCATGTTACCAACAAATTATATACTGTTAAACCGTTTGTATTATATCAATAAATCTGAGAACCTGTTGGCCTGGCTGATTGGGACCTGTGCCTGGCTATTGGTCAGTGTTTGTTTGCATGATTTTTCACGATGTGAAATTATATCTTTCATATAAAGTGTCTGGCTTAGATATGCTGGATTTCTGGTTGGGCCGATAATGAATTTATGTCTTGATTTTTATATTTTATTTGTTTGTAAAATATTTTTAGAAGATCAAAATCGATTTCTCTGGGAAGACTCAAACCACCCACATGGTATCCTTTCCCCTATGCACTTAACACAAGTTCGAGAGGTTTCCACAAACAATGGATGAATCAGGGATCAACAAGGACCGTTCAAAAACACCTTCCCCAAATTGCAAACTTAAATCAAGATTGGGTCAAAAGTAAGGATTCACCCATCATGGGTTGTGACTGTCATTTCAATTGTCTTTGGTCAATCTGAAAACTACCTGTGCAATGGGTTGAAAGAGCTGCTCATGGAATGTCAAATCACATCCTGTCCAGATCAACATGCACCAGGTCTTAACATCAATCAATGCATGGCAAAGTTATGACTTTGAATTTAATTTATGTTTTTGGAATGGTTGACTTGAATTCCATGCGTACAATCTTTCAACCACAATTCAGAAACAATTCATTTTCAGCCCTTTCTTTGGAGGTCACTGTGTGTTGGGGATCATCCAATTTATGTATATTTCATTCTGATGACAATGGGGTTTTGATTTTATGATTTTAAAGTTGATTTATGGATTACACCTACAGTCGTTCCAACACCACAACCGGCAGCCCCATCTCTCTTCCAAGTCCCGGTGCACCATCGAAGCCATTGAAGCCTGAGGCCGGTGGCATTGCGCAAGGCGATTGAGAATGAGTTGAAGACGCTTCGCAAGGACTTGATCACACAGCGTGATGAGCTCCAGTGTAAGATCGACACACAGTGTGCTACTCATCTGAATTCAAAACCTAATTGATATCAACAAGAAATGTGCATTTTCCAATCCACAATTTGTTATAAAGTTGTTCACCTGAGAAAAGTCCTGTTCTGTCTTCTATCTAGTTAAGAGGGGTCAATGATGAAATCAGAAAGAATTAATATTAGATAATTTTGTCAATGATTGGGGATCTGTGTTTTTGCCTATCCAAGATCACCTCATGAGTTCGTTGACTCAGGTTGATGGGTTGCACACGCTGGTGGAAGATGCTGAGAAGCTTGAGTCTACGTACAAAGATTTTATTGCCCGTGCTAACTTGAAGTAATTCCCAGGATGTTAGCAAGTGAAGCTTTTGGATCTTACAAATCACGTGGCAAGCTCACTTTCTGTGCCTGCATAGACTTGCATTGGGTTGAATTTGTTAGATCCTATTTGGCATTTGGCCTGCAACCTATAGATTCCACATCAAGCCACTGTTGGTTCAAATGTTTCAGATAGTACTATCTTCCATATTTCACCAAAAAAAATTGCACTTGTCATTGAAAACATGAAAAGAACAAAAAAATGAAATTGTTTTCCAACAAAGACATCCCCAGGGGAGCCAAGTAGCAGGTACAGTCATGAGAGCTTAATTGGCCACGATTCTGATTTCAATCCCCACCATGACTTATCTCAGAGAAAAGTCATTGATTTTGGTGATACGAGGTGCAAATTGCGAGGAAGAACGAAAGAAACATTAGCGGGTGTGTCATTCTGGTGCCATGTGAACACCACTAACCTGTCTACTTGGCCATCATCAACTTTTTTGGTTCTCATTCTTGATATGTTTTCCCCAGAGTAGCCAGTATCGCAGTACTATCCGTGAGTTGATCAAACTGGATTCATCCCAACGCAGGTGATGATGAGCTTGGCATGTCAGCCATGTTGGAGAACTCCATCCATGAAGTCTGTAGTGGTGTTTTTTGGATGCATTAGGCTGCATCAGATTATCGTCTTGCGTGGTTAAACCAAGATAGGCCACGCCATCATGTGATGGCGAGTCATCATGATATGTCAAACTGATATTTCCTTACAACTTTATAGTGTGTAATTTTCTTGTTGGTGCTGGACAACGTTTTCAGTATAAATCCCAATGATCATCCATGATAATAACAATTGATCCCATATATGAAAAATATATTGTATTGAGATCTAACCAACTAAGTTTTAAAACATCAAAACGATTCCCATGCTATTTAACAGGTCAACCTCTGCCCAGATGTGAGCTGAGGGCTCGACTGCTGGGAAACAGATGCGCTCGCTCAAGGCCCACTTCACTGCT